CGAGACGCCGACGACGAAGCCGACGACGACGACGACGAGGGAGGAGATAGGACAACCACGGAGACAACGACGACGGAAACGACGACGACGCCAAAGAGAACGACGACGACGACGACAAGGACAGACAGAAGGCGACGACGGCGACGACGACGACGACGGGGGAGGAGGGAGGATGGCGACGACGACGACGACGATGCACGGGCGCGCGCGCTTCTTTTGGAAATCCGCGTTGCGGAACCTCGTGTCTTTGTGCGATTATGGGCGCTCGATTTTGAATTCCTTCCGTCCTTCCGACGGCGCGCGCGCGCGCGTCGCCCCATTTTTCGCGGGGGATCATCGCGGCGGCGCGCGCGAGGGCGACCGAGCAATTTTTTGACATGCGCGCGCGAAGCCTGTTTCGTAAAATGTTGAAAACCGATGGTTTTCTTTCGAATTGCCCACTCCACTGCTCGCGCAAACACCCCGCCCACCCACCCACAACTTGGTTTGCAAAACCTCTTAAGACCGTGAAGGTGGGCACCAAATTGCACTCGGCAACGACGGCGACGCCAGCGACGACAGCGACGACGACGACGACGCCGCCCACAACGACTGCGACGACACCGAGGACGTCTCCAACGACCTCGACGACGCCGACAACGACGACGACGACGACGCCGACGACGACGGAGACGACGATGACGACAACGACGTCGCCAACGAAGACGACGACGACGACGAGGGAGGAGGGGGGAGGCAACGGGACAGCGACGCCCCGAGAGGCGCCCAGGATGAGCCCAACAGGCGCCCAAGAGGCGCCCAAGCTGAGCCCGAGAGGCACCGAGGGGCCCCCAAGGGCCCCAACATGATTCCAAGAGCGAGGGGGCCCCAACCCAAGAGACCCCAAGAGGCTTCAAAACTGCACTCAGAGGCACCGAAGAGACAAACTACGAGACCCAACGAACATCCACGAGGCTTCTGAGACTGACCCGACAACCAGGCACGCTGGCGGGGTCGGCCGAAGGCCATTCGATAATGTCTCACACACCCACTCGGCGCCTCAGCAAGGGATTGCAAAACGCGGCGCAGTGCAGGGAGGTCTGCCTTGAGAGCCGCCGTTGAAAAAGCATCATAACGGTGCTTCGAACTCCGAAGCTTCTCAGTGCAATGGATGCTGTTCGGAGACATCTGCCGTGGAAAAGTAGTGGGCGTTGTGTAGAAAGCCCCCGTGAACGCTGCTGCAATCTGGGCAGCGACGCCGTAGCCTGCGTCGGCCGTTGCAGCCGGCGCAACGCCCCCCTTCTCCAGCACTGCTTCGCTGTCCTGCTTGCCCGTGCGGGACAGAAGCCCCGCTGGGTCGCGAACCAACTGGAAGTGCAAGCGCTGCGCCTTGCGGCGGGCTTCCGCCCCCCAAGCCAACTAGCATGAAGCCAGGGGGCTGCGCGGGCGCCAGGTGGGCGCCGCGGCCCGCAGGACCTGGCGCGGCACTGCCCAATACTTTCTTCCCCGGCGCACTCCTGTCGCGCCTCTCGGCCCCCCCTCGTCGCTCCGACCCCCCCGTGGAAGCGCCCGTGTCGCTCGAGAACGTGCCTGCGCAAACTCCTGGCGGACGCGCCCTGCCCGCGCTGGCCCAGCCGCGCGCGCGGCAAAATGCCGCGGGGCGCTTGGCCCACGAGCAGTTCTCAACTGAAGCGTCTAGTAATCTAACCCTCTCGGGGCAATGCGCCTCGGAGAAACGACGGAATCGTCGCTCCGCGTTGCCCGTGCTCGTTTTTCCAGACTAGAGAAAGCTCTGCAAGGCGACTGCCGCTGCCGCGCTCGGGCCACTCCGCCGCAGCGCGGCCCCAAGCCTGCCGCGCTGCGCCCCCCTCTCGACGGCGTGCCTCGGCGCGCCTCAACAGTTGCCACAGCTGGGCGATCGTCCGCCGCTCAGGGAGGCTTGCCCCCATGCAGATTCGCTCCAAGCAGCCCCCGGCATCTGCCGCAGACTCCGCGGCGCCCGCCTCTGTTTCAGACAGCGGGGAAGGCAGGCGAAATGCGATGAAAGCGCGCAACCGAGAATGCCCTGGCCGACGCAGCATCGCGTTTTCCTTCGCGTTGGCCACAGTTGCCCGCGCGCGTCGCAGAGCCGCCTCGACGGCGTCGCGGGCTCGGGGCTCCGCATTCCATTCGCCATGACCCACGGTCTGGGCGCTGTTGCAGCACGGGCGGCGCCGCGTCTGCTGCGGCAGCGTGAGGACATCGCCCGCGCAAGTGGAAGGGGTGACCAACATCTCCCCTTCGTCGAACGAAGTCTCCGGCCTTCAGATGGAACGATCCGGCCGCGCGCTCGACGCTTGCAGCGACGGGGCTGCCTTCGTCTCCCGCGGCGACCCCCGAGCAGCGCTCCGCGCGCAAGTCGGCCAGCGCCCCCCCCCCCCCCCTCCCAAGAAGCAGGGGCGAACTGTTCTCGCCCCCGAGCCCTTCCAGGAAAGATCGGGCGAGTTCGCGCCGATCTCGGCAACTCCCCCCCGAAGGTTCCCCTCCGGGCGATTTGAAAATAACGGCTTTCCCGCGCCGGGGGCCTCGCCCGACCGTTGAAACTCCAGGGGCCCCAGCCGAAGTCTCCGGCGAAATCTACGTCTTCTTCCAGCTGGTGCCCCCCCCCCACATTGTTGCGGAACGCGGTGGAATTAATCCGAGACGTTGCCGGATTTTGCTGCTTCTTACCCGCCGCCAGCTGCTCGTCGGGCATCGTGATTTCGCTATCTTCTTTCGTCGAATTTGCCGGGAACTTCTGGGCCGAACGCGCCTCGCCCCCTGCGTCCGCCACCGCGCCCTGAGGCGCGCGGAGGTCGCTCTAACAGCCCGTGCTAGCACGCGAAATGAGCTCTGACAGCCCGCGTTAGCACTGGATTTGAGCTCTAAGATCCCATGTTAGATCTCGACTTGAGCTCTGACATCCCATGCTGGATCTCGATTTGAGCTCTAACATCCCATGTTAGATCTCGATTTGACCTCTAACATCCCATGTCAGATCTCGGCGTGAGTTCTCGCTGCCAATTTGAAGACTCGATTGAGTTCTCACAGCAAATGGTAGAACTCGATTTGATTTGCAACAGCCCGCGTTTAAACTCGCGCCGGGGCGAGGGGGGGGGGGGGGGGCGGGCCCAGACGACAACGACGGCGCCCGCGACTCGCCGCCCAGGCGGGGTGGCGGACGGGCCAAAGGCCAGTGGAATGAAATGGCAGCCAAGGGAACGTAGCTGTTGCAGCCAGACGTGCGCTGAGGTCCGCTCCATCGCCGCGCCATGCCCGCGTCTCCTCTCGCACGTGCGCGCGCAAGTCCACGCCCAGTTCCCCATCTGCCGTCTGGCGCGCGCGACGGACGCAGTCCTCCGGCATGGAGGCCTCGCCGTCGCAATCCATGGCCCGTGGGGACTCCCGCGCCCCGATCGCCTGTTCCGCGATCCAGGGCCCTTCGGGGCTCAGCTGTTCCGGCCATCCTGCCTCGACGCCGTAGCTTGGATGAAATCCCAGAAACGTCGGAATAGACAGCAGCGCGGTGCCAATTTCAACTTGGCGCGCGCGGTCGAGACCGTCTGCAGCCAAACCATTCGTCACCAGCAGCCAGAACAACACCCTCTTTGAGAATCCGCTTCGTCACGAGCTTCTCGAAATAAACCATTGCGGTCGCCAGCCTTCGGCACGTTCTAGACGACCCCAAAGCTTCGCGGTCGCCCCCGAAGAGCGCATCCCGCCGCGCGTCGAAACTGTTGAAGGAACTGGACGTCTCCAATATTGCACGGGCGGCGATCACTCCGCGGCAACCAGGGCGCGGGCCGGCGGTGCGAACGACGACGGGCGCAGGCGCCGCGGCTGTCGCGGCTGCTGCGGCCGTCGTGGTGCACGCGGACATGGGGATGCCCTGCTGCGAGGCTTCCGCCCGAACCCGCTGTTTCCACGCAGCTCCTGCTGCCTTGTGCTCCTGGCCATCTGTGTGGCGTAAGAGGTTATGGCGACGGCTGAAAGACCCGATGCCTTGGCCAATGGTGGATATGCAACGAGGGCCCTTGAACGCCGAATAAAACAAGCAGGAGGCGAATCTACCACCTGCGCAGCCTGTCCAAGTTTCAGCTCTCACGGTTACAGGATTGATCGCAGACAGACTGGCGCTCAACCTGTCTTTCTGTTTCCAAAGTTTGCAAGCGCCGCGCGTCCTGACGTGCAGTGGGTAGTTGTGGCTGGCGACGCGCTCCTCCAGGGCCATGGAAGTGTCGAACTTCTTGATGTTCGGGGCGTCCGTCGCCTTCGCCTTCGCTGTTGCAGCCGCGGCTGACTCGCTGTTGGAGCCAGAATCCTCTTCAGAGCCGCTGTTGGAGCCGCTGTTGGAGCCGCTGTTGGAGCCGCTGGTGGCGTCGCCGTCGGTTTCGGCAACTCCGCCGGCGTCGGCAACTCCGTCGGCGTCGGCAACTCCGTCGGCGTCCTCGGCGTCGGCTTCCGAGCTGTTGCAGCCGTCGGACACTACGTCGGCGTCGGCGTCCGAGCTGTTGCAGCCGCGGCTCGACGAGGCCGCTCTCGACGGGGCCACTCTCGACGAGGGGGCTGCTTTCGACGAGGCCGCAGGGCTTGAGCGGGCTGTCGACGAGGCCGCTCTCGCCGAGGCCGCAGGGCTCGAGGGGGACGCATGGCTGGAGGGGGCCGCGCTGCTCGACGAGGCCGCGCGGCTCGACGAGGCCGCAGGGCTCGAGGGGCACGGGGGCGCGGGCGAGCTGGAGGACATGGCCTTGTCCCAAGTGCTACGGATGTTGATCGTGATGATAATTTCGATTGTCGTTCGTCGTAGGACTTGCATCATCACAATCACCAACATCAACATCACCATCACCATCTTGCATGACCATTACGATGATCAGCACCGCCATCATCACTACGATCAGCACCATCATCACGACAATCACCACAGAGGGGGGGACTCAACCTACTCAACCGATTTCACTTCACCCTAGTCTAAGCCAGTAGTGATCCCCTAAGGGCCGCGCTGGTGCCCTGGGTGCGACTCCTCGCTGAACTCGGACAACACCTCCAGGGAGCGAGCCACACGCGCCGCGCTCTGCTCGGCCGCGTCCTCCAGACAGAAGATAAGAATGCCAGCAGGAGGAGGGAGGAGGATAAGGAGCAACGCTGGCTGGGACGATCGCCCACACACGAGCACAGAAGATATTGATGCTCGAACTCACGACTCCCATCTGCGATTGTCCAACAATGTACTGCCCCTTCCTCGTCCTGGTGTGGCAAAACGAATAAGGATAGGAAAGGTGGATAAGGAATACCGCCCGAGACTTAGCTCGCCAGGCGCCCCTGCCATCGCCCAAATCCGTGCAGTAGTCATGATTGCGATGGTAATGGCAATGGCGAGGAGCTTCCCTCAGCGTGTACCTTGCCATGGCCTATTGGATCCACGGCGTCAGATCGGACACAGCCTGAAGCTTCCCCACAGTGTGGCCTACATGCACAGGCCCTGGACAGTACGGCGGAACTGGCCGAGCGTAGGTTTACTCTGGTCGCAGCACCGAGCAACGATGCGATGCGTAGCAAACCTGGCAAGCTGAACCCTTTCCTGCATCCGTGCTTCGGTGCGGATCGTAAGCGCGCCTCGTGTCCGTCGTCGTTGGCGGCGTGGTGGTGGTGGCGGATGCTGCTCTGCTCGGGACTTGCTCCCCGTAGCTCTGGCCTGGACTCAACCTTCAAGTATCGCCTCGTGGCATGGTTCGAACGAGACCCCGGCGAGATGCAGAGCACGATCGCTTCGAGGTGCACGCTGCTTGATACCGACTGGGCAGCCCCAGGCTGACCAACACATCAGAATGCTGGATCCTCGTGACGGCATGCGGAGGCACATGGCGTGCTCAAAGTGGGCGACCTTCAAAAGGGCAGGCTAAGGAGATGATGCCTGTCTGCAGCATGCATTGCCTGGAAGCGAACTGTCCGCATCAATCGAATCCTTGGGCCATTGTCGGCCAATGTATCTCAGAAAACCTTGTCCAAAGCAGCTCGAATGCATCTTCACATCATTGGAAGAGCAAGACCTTACACATCAGACACCACAAACAAACGGATGGCTCATGGTTCAGAAATGGACTCAACCTGAATTTCTGAAACACATCCACCCTCGCCCCGACACCGAGCGAAGAACCGGCACCACCTCGAAGGGGCCAAGGAATCGCAAGGCAAATCGCATGTTTCTGAACACGTTTCTAGCTAGCCACTTTCAACGTGTTTTTGTTGCCAACGTCCCAGGCACATAATTGTCAGGAACGAGAAGAGCTCGGCCCCTCAACCCCTCCAAGTCCAGCCTCTCTCAGAACAGTAACAAATACGCGACGTATCATCACGCTTGCGAGCTGAGTGGCTGCCCCCCCAATCTACGATTCAAGTGGTTTCCACCAGGTGGGAGTGTCTGGAAGGCGAGTCGGATGAAGGCGGGTGGGATAGAGGCGGCAGAAGAGGCCAGGTGGGTGGGGCCAGAAGGGGCAGAGTGCGTGGGGAGCTCGCTACCCCAAGTCCTCCAGCGCTGGAACTGGCACTGGCACTGCAGCTGTTGCCTCGGGGCAGAGAGATGAAGCTAGCCGCTGTGGACAGGACCGGGGCGGGGCGCGAGGGGCGCGAGGCAGAGCGACGCCATCCAAGCAAGACTCGCCAACCAGGGGCTCGATACGTGCCCACTCTGTTGATTACGACGCTTCGCCACCCAGGGCCGGAATACGTGCCCTTACTGAAGACACCGCTCATTACCAAGGATAAGTGCGTGCCTCGTGGCTGCACTAATGCAGCCTGTGGTTTTGCAATGCCAAATGCGACTATGGCCGCTTTCCGCACGCAATTGCAGATTCCACTCGCCCTCCAGGAGCAGGTGGTTTACCGAGTTCGTCCTTCTAAAACCCTTCCTCCAGTTCGGTGATGAGATTTGACCCTCATCCTACCTCCTGCAGAGGGTCCAAGATGGCCCCAAGAGGGCCCAATGGCCCCGAAGATGGCACAAGATACCCCAGGATGATTCAATATAGCTTCCAACACGTTTCCACGACACCTCAAAATCGCCCCAATGTGTGTCCAAGTGGCCACGGACCCTTCCAAGGATGCACCCGAGAGGCCAAACGCCTTTCACAATATATGGAACATGAACAGGTTTTGCCGCCTCGTCTGTTGGCTTCTCATGAGCTTTTGAGACCTGGATGCTTCCAGATAGCTCCAAGTTAGCCGAATAGAGCCCCAAGAGGGGCCCAGAAGAGCTCCAAGAGGGTACCACAAGCGCACAATAGCGGCCCAAAATACCTCCAAGAGGCGAAGTGTCGGCCTCAGATGCGGGAGGGGGGCGTAATAAGCGCCGCCCTCATTTTTAGCGATGGCATCTAAGGTGGCCTCGAGAGGGCCCCCCTAGACCCCCAAGATGGCCCCAAGAGGGCCTCAGGAGAGGGCCCCAGGAGAGTCTCAAGAACCACAGGTGATGTCTACGAGGACCCCAAGAGGGCTCCAAGACGTCTCCGACACGCGAAAGATCGGTGGCCTTGTATGCTTGCCTTCTGGATGCGTGCTGCTGAACTCCCCTGATTCAGGCATCTCGCCTAGCGATCGTTTCTGGATGGGCTGGCGGAAATAATCGAAACATCCAGAATACGTCGGACTCCCGGCGTGTGAGCCTGCGAGCGCCGGGCAGCCTTGGCAGTGTAAAAAGCTCGAGGACTGGACAAAGAAAGGCAGGAAAAAGGATATGCGTGCTAAATGGATCTAAACGACTGAGAGGGAAAAGTGGGCTCGTGCATCCCAGCCAAGACAACTTCATTGACCCAGACGGGCTCTCCACAGCTTCGTCGGGTGGTTGTCGGGCGGCACCGGATGACCGACCCCGGTGATTCACAGGAGGCCCCCAAGACGGCGCCAAGACGGCCCAAGACGATTTCTGGATGCGCTGGACGGCCAAAGATGGCCCCAAGACAGCTTCAGACAGCCCCATGACGGCCCGAGAGGCCCGCAGTACGGCCCACGAGGGCTTCAAGAGGCTTTCCACGAAGGCCTCAAGTTGCCCGATCGTTGGTTTCCCGCTGGTTGTTGAAAGCTGTTGGTGTTCTCGGATTTACTGTCTCCTGACAGCTCAAGACGGTTCAAGAGACCTTCAAGATGACCACAAGACGACCCAAGAGGCTCCCAAGAAGGCTCCTATAGGGCTCAAGACAGCGCCGGGACACTGTGCTGAGGAGAGCCCAGGAGACCCAAAAAATCACAAAGATGGCCCAAACACAGCCTCAGAGGCTTCCGAGACGGCAATCCAACGCCCCAAGAGGGAGGGCCCCAAGGCTGCCCAGAGAAGCTCCCAAGACGGCTCGAAGAGGCCGACCCCCAACTGGAGGCCCCCCGGAGTCGCCAAGAAGGGCCCCAAGAGGTAACCTAAGGGGCTCATTCTCCCCATTCCCTGTGCTATACATACCTCCTCCCTGTCGCACCACTAAACGAGTCCGTACGACGGGCTGGGCATTTAGCTTGGGACTCCCTTAGAGTATACACCACCGTGTCGTCAGCACGAAGTATATTGCCCAAAGGCTCATGCGGCCCTGAACGGTAAAGGGTTTGTGCAGTTGTAAAAAACCCAAACCCCTGGATTCCCAGGCGGTTCCCGGCGCTGCCAAGGTTTGGTGCATGGACTTCTGGGGCGATGACCCCGCCCAAGACGGCCCTGATATTCTCCAATATTTCCCTGACGCGCCCAAGAGGGTCCAAGAGCGCCCCGAGACGGGCCCTAGAAGGCCCCAAAACTCGCCACGACGCCCTCCAGACGGCCGAAAATGCTCCCAAGCAGGCCCAAGAGAGCCCCTAGAGGAACCCCAAGAGACTCCCCAAAGGCTAGAAACTGGAAAGCCTACAAAGTGAGTTCCACCTAAGGCCCCTGTGGGAAACTTCGCATGGCACCACCGCCCCATGCCGGCACACCCCTCACACTTTTCGCGGCCCCACAGAGAGCTCTAACGAGGGCCCCAGTGGCTGCGCTCGCATGGCGCCACCGCACCCATGTCGGCACACCCGTCGCACGCTTCGTGGCCCAATAGGTAGCTCCACCGAAGGCCCCAATGGCTGCGTTCGCACGGCACCGCCGCACCTATTTCGGCACAGTCCTCAAACGTTTCCTGGCCCCGTAGGGAGCTCCACCGAACGCCCCAATGGCTGCGCTCGCACGGCACCACCGCGCCCATTTCGGCACAATCCTCACATGCTTCGTGGCCCCATAGGGAGCCCCGCCGAGGGCCCAAGTGGCTGCGCTGGCATGGCGCCAACGCACCCAATTCGACACCCCTCACACGTTTCGTGGCTCCAGCGGCTGCGCCCGCATGACACTACCGCGCCCATATCGGCACGCCCCTCTCACGCTTCGTGGCCGCAAAAGGAGTTCCGCAGAATGCCCCCCGACTGGCTGCGCTGGCATGGCACCACCGCGCCCATCCAGGCTCATCCCTCACACGCTTCGTGGCCCCATCGGGAGTTCCACAGAAGGCCCCAGTCTCTGCGTTCGCATGGCGCTACCGCGGCCATGTCGGCGCACCCCGCGCACGCGTTCGCATGCGCCAACCGCGCCAATTTCGGGTATTCCCCCACACGCTTCGTGGCCGCCTAGGGGGCTCCACCAAGGACGATACTCACAAACGCGTCACTCACAACTGCGTATGGTTGGGTCCTTCGCCAAGCAAAAGTTATTCCCCTCCCTTGGGTTCCGCCCCACTGTGGGGGTTATCCTGCTTCTCGCCCTCCTCCACATTCCCCTATGGCAGGAGGGGCCTTAAAGAGAAATCCAAAATGAAGAATCCTTAGTAAGGGATCCTGGCGGAGGAATCCTTAATGAGGTATCCAGAATTAGAACTCCTGAATGAGAACTCCGCAGTGTGGAATCCTTACTAAGGAATCCGTGGTGGGGAGTCCTTCGACAAAAATCCTGAATGAGGGCTCCTTTCGTCAGCGAAGAGAGCTCAGGCGACAGCTGCATCGAATCGAAACATCGAATCGAATCGGAACCAGCATCGATTCGGAGCGCATCGGGCGGCCATCGAATCGACATCGAATCGGAATGCCTGTGCGCTGCATCGAATCGATTCGAAATCGAAATATAATCGGTTGCAAGTCGGTAGCGCAAGCCGAATCGAAATCGAATCGGAATCTGCTAGCCCGAACCGTGCCCACGCCCTGGCTGCACCGGGGGGGGGCATCCAGGGCCCTTTGGAGCGCCTCTGGGCCACCCGAAAACGCATTTTTTCGATGCTTGAGAAATGGCATTTCTCTCCCCGGGGCCTTCGACGCCTCCTGGGAGCCTCCGGAGCTCCCAGGAGCCGAAAACGGATTTCTCGAGGCCTGAAACATTGTTTTTCTCTCCCCGGGGCATTCGGCGCCTCTGGAGAGCCTCCGGAGCTCCCGGGAGCCGAAAACGTATTCTTCGAGGCCTGAAACATTGTTTTTCTCTCCCCGGGGCCTCCGGCGCCTCCGGGGAGCCTCCGGAGCTCCCGACGGATTTTTCGATGCCTGAAACATCGTTTTTCTCTCCCCGGGGCATTCGGCGCCTCTGGAGAGCCTCCGGAGCTTCCGGGAGCCGAAAACGCATTCTTCGAGGCCTGAAAAATTGTTTTTCTCTCCCCGGGGCGTCTGGCGCCTCCGGGGAGCCTCTGGAGCTCTGGGGAGCCGAAAACGCATTCTTCGAGGCCTGAAAAATAGTTTTTCTCTCCCCGGGGCCTCCGGCGCCTCCGGAGAGCCTCCGGAGCTCCCGGGAGCCGAAAACGCATTGTTCTTCGAGGCCTGACAAATATTGTTTTTCTCTCCCCGGGGCGTCTGGCGCCTCCGGGGAGCCTCTGGAGCTCCTGGGAGCCGAAAACGCATTTTTCGAGGCCTGAAAAATAGTTTTTCTCTCCCCGGGGCCTCCGGCGCCTCCGGAGAGCCTGTGGACCTCGCGCCTCCAGAGAGCCTCCAACAACGCGCCACTGCGCACATCCGGCCAATCAGTCAACCAACCTCCTTGCTCCTGCTCCTGCTGCTCCTCCTCCTCCTCCTCCTGCTCCTCCTTCTCCTCCTGATCCTCCTCCTCCTCCTCTTCCTCCTTTTTTCTTCAACGGGAAAAGCCAAGCGGCGTCGGATCGGCGCGAATCCGTGGGCAGCGAAGCCGAACTGGAAACTGGCGGATTCGATCCCCTGGGCCAGCACGAGGCGCCAGCGAGGCGCCCGCGGCGAAACCGAATCAACCGAGATAACCGAAGAGGGCGCGACGACGCAAGGACTCCGCAACAACCGAACCGACCGAACCGATCGATTCTGACCGACACCGACGCAACTGAACCGACCGGTTCGCGGCCGTCCATGTGGATTATGCCAAAGTCAGAGGAGGGGAGCATGAGGGGAGCCCAGGGGGGGCGGCGCATCGAATCGAAATCGAATCGGATCGAGATCGAATCGAAATCGAATCGGTTTCAACCTGCGCCGAGTCGAATCGACATCGAATCAGAATCGGGCGCGCCCGCATCGGATCGAATCGATCGAATCGGAATGATCCCTGGAGCTTAGCAAGGCATCCTCAGCG